CAAGCTGGAGTGGGATTTGATACAGCATCCACCATACAGCCCAGACATGGCCCCTTCGGATTTCTATCTGCTTTCACATCTGCAGCTTCATCTTGATGGGGCAATCTTCAATTCAAATGATGAGGTCATTAACGAGATCCATCTCTTCCTGGACTCCCGCACGCCACAGTTCTTCGCAGAAGGGATTGAAAAAATACCAAAACGTTGCCAGACGATTGTTGATTTGAATGGAGATTACTATCCTCATTAGCTTTGAAGTTTTCATATGTATTTATCATTTTAAAATAAAAAACATTTTGACGGAAAACTTTTTATTCAACCTGGTATTTTGCATGAATCTCTATTTAGCGATCTAAAACGGTCGAGGAAGCCACTTTCATAAAGTTTGGCATAATTAGATGTCATTATCCCAAAATTAAAAAATAACTTGGCCAATGGGGGAATCAAACAAATGACCTTCGCGTTACTAAAACGACGCTCTAACCAACTGAGCTAATGGGCCTCGATGTGGTCTCTTCAAATTCCGTGCAACGTATGGCGGTAAAATACACATTATAACGAGATATCTTCTTTTTCCTATTTTGTATGAATCTCTATTGAACGGTGTGAAACAATCGACGAAGCCACTTCCAATTAGTTTGGAATAATTTGATGTGATTATCCCAAAATTATAAATTTCCTTCCTGGGACCATGGGGGATCGGACCCACTACCTTCGCGTTATTAGCACGAGGCTGTAACCAACTGAGCTAATGGGTCTCGAGGTGGCCCATGAAATTCCATACAACTTCTTGCGGTAAAATACAAATAATAAAGAGAGATCTTCTTTTTCATATTTTGCATGAATCTCCATTGAGCGGTGTGAAACATGCGATGGAACCACTTTCATATAGTTTGGCATAATTAGATGTCATTATCCCAAAATTATAAATGACATAGACCCATGGGGGGATCGAACCCACGACCTTCGCGATATTAGCACGACGCTCTAACCAACTGAGCTAATGGGCCTCGATGAGACCGCTTCAAATTCCGTACAACATATTGCGTTAATATACGCATTACAAGCAGAGATATTCTTTTTTTTCTATTTTGCATGAAACTCTATTGAGCAGAGCGAAACTTTACTTGAAGACACTTTAAAATAGTTTGGCATAATTAGATGTCATTATCCAAAAATTATTTATGACATTGGCCCATGGGGGGATCGAACCCACGACCTTCGCGTTATTAGCACGACGCTCTAACCAACTGAACTAATGGGCTCGATGTAGCCGTTTCAAATTTCGTACAACGTATGGCGGTAATATAAGCATTACAATTAGGGAAACTTTTTTCTAATATTTTGCATGAATCTCAGTTGAGCGTTATGTAACAGTCGATGAAGTCACTTTAAAATATTTTGGCCTAATTAGACGTCATTTACCCAAAATCACAAATTACCTTGGTCCATCGGGGGATCGAACCCACGAGACCTTCGCGTTATCAGCAAGACGCTCTAACCAGCTGAGCTAATGGGCCTCTATGTAGCCGATTCAAAATCCGTGAAACTCTTTCCGGTGAAATACAAGTACAAAGAGATATCATCTTTTCACTATTTTATAGGAATCTCTATTGCGCGGCGTGAAACTTTCGATGAAGCCACTTTCAAATAGTTTGGCATAATTAGATGTCATTATTCCAAAATTATTAATGACCTTGTCCCATGGGGGATCTAACCCACGACCTTTGCGTTATTAGCACGTCGGTCTAACCAACTGAGCTAATGGGCCTCAATGTTGCCGCTTCAAATTCCGTGCAACGTATTGCGGTAATATACACATTACAATCAGAGATATTTTTTTTTTATTTTGCATGAATCTCTATTGAGCGTTATGAAACAGTCGATGAAGTCACTTTAAAATATTTCGGCCTAATTAGACGTGAATAACCCAAAATCATAAATTACCTTGGCCCCTGGGGGCATCGAACCCACGACCTTCGCGTTATTAGCACGACCCTCTAACCAACTGATCTGATGATCCTCGATTGGCGGCTGGAAATTCCTTGCAACTTCTTGCAGTAAAATATCTTAATATAAATAAAAGTCATTGTGGGTATGTGGATATGTATGTGGGTATGTATGTGGGTATGTATGTGGGTATGTATGTGGGTATGTATGTGTCTATGTTCCACATCTCCTCCTAAACCAATGGACGGTTTTCAACCAAATTTTGTACAATTATTATTTAAGACAAGGGGAAGACACTTATGAACTTTTCTAAGTCCCAAAGTTAATTAAACAGTATGTTAATTAGAAAATATCCGAAACCGTTTTTCCGCAGTAACTTCGGAACAGATTGTCTAACAAAACATATTTTTATACCACCTTAAAGTTCAAATTTTTACCTTTTCAATGATATCAATTTCATTTCTGTAACATTTTTCCTTCGATTGTTAATAATTTTTAAAAGTTCAGACAACAATTAAATAATTAACAAATCCCATTGACTCGGCGATTCTCGATGAAGAATATTTTATTTTTCAATCGACTGTCACGTGATCCTTCAGGAATGCGAAAACATGAGGAATAAATTCTTTTTAAAATCAAATATCACGTAATCCTTCTTTCCGCTGTAACTTCGGAACAAATTGTCCGATACAATATATTTTTATACCATCTTAAAGATACAAATTTTGCCTTTGCAATGATACCAATTTTATTTCTGTGACATTTTTCATTCAATTTTTATTAATTTTTTAAATTTTACGTGCAGACGATTTTGAAATAAAGCAAATTTATAGCTACTCAGTTGCTAGGAGATGGTTAGACTTTGAACTAATTTACCTTTATTTCTGAAAATTTTGCTTATATTTATAAGTATCCATAAAATAAGGCAGAATTTACATGTATCTGTCTGTCTGTCGGTCAATCGGTTGGTCACAAGAACTCCTCCTAAACGGTGAACGGTAGCGACGTGAAATTTACACACGGCATTCTAGAGCATATTTTTAGGTCAAAGGTGTTATTTTCAAGTTTCAGAGTTAATTAGTTCTTAAGATATTTAATTAAATAACGAACATTAGCCGCTTTTAAGCCTAATGCTTAGACGTTTTTTGCCAATAACTTCTGAAATCTTTAGTAGACAACAATTATTTTTATGCCATTTTAAAGACCAGAAAATGATCTTTTTAATGCTATTAATTCCATTGCGATGAAATGTTTTCTCCGATTGCTATAAAGGTTTAAAAATATTTTTAAACGTAATTTCTAACAATACTTTTTATTCTTATAGAAATAAATTCAAGCCAAATTACTGTTTCGCGCGCGGGCCTTTGCCGGTGTTAATTGTCAGGGGCACCTTCCGATAAGCCTAGAATGATAGTCGGTGTGCCAGTACTACTAATACGTAAACTCGATATACGAGAATGGCACACAGTTAAAAATTACACACCTAGGTATAAACGTCGTGAAAGCTACTGTTATGACTGATATAGGGAGAAGAGAGAGTGTTTTAATTCCACGCCTTCCGATAACACCGAAGGATTTATCATCACAGTTCAAAAGGTAACAAATCTCTGTAAAAATATCATTTTCGAGGCTCAGGGCCAGACACTGAAAGTGGCAGGCGTACATCTGGAAAAACCATATTTTTCCCATGGGCAACTATATGTGGCCTGTTCACGTGTGTACAGCCCACACAACCTCTACATCCGTGCAAATAACGTGGTATACAAAAGTATATCATCATAGATAAACAATTTATATAACTATATCAGCATACATGTACAGTACACTCCTGTCAGCCGTCCAATTAAGTATTATTAACCGTCAGAACTTTTCCTTTCCCCTTTCAAAATGCAACAAAACATTTGCATTCGTGAATTAAAAAAAGAATAATTCAAATTCTTCGCGCACGAAGTCGCGGGTAACAGCTAGTATATAATAAAGAGAGATTATCTTTTTCATATTTTTCATGAATATCTATTGAGCGGTGTGAAAGAGTCGATGAAGCTACTTTCAAAATTTTAGCATAATTAGATGTGATTATCCAAAAATTTTAACTGACCTTGTTCTATGGGTTGATCCAGCCCATGACCTTCGCGTAATTAGCACGACGCTCTAACCAACTGAGCTAATTTGCCTCGATTTTGCCCCTGGAAATTCGTTGCAACTTTTTTGCGGTAATAATAAAAGCGATCTTAATTTTAATAAAAATAAAGATATTTTTTCGATGAGGTTGAGTAAAAAGTTTTCCGCTATGTTTAGATACCTTCGCGCTAACAGCTGTCATTTCTGTGGTGTTTAGCCGTTCCATAAACAGGGTTTTGCATTCGAAAGCTGAAAAGTGGATCTACACGACTGTGTAATTTGTTTGTTGAAAATTTATTATCTTGTGCTTCAAAAAAGTGTTTAAAATGGAGCTATCACGTCAACAGATCAGAACGACTATGTATTTTGAATTCCGTAACAAATTCAGTGCGACTGAATGCCACCAAAAATTGTGTGAAAGTTTATACATCAATACTGTTTCTTATGATACAGTCAAAGTTTGGTTTAGGAAGTTTAAGGCTGGAATTTTCGACATTGAAGATGAACCACGTTCTGGCCGCCGTATTGAAGTTGATTGTGAACAGTTAAAGCAAATATCATCGATCAAGACAGAAATGTTTCAACAGAATCTATTGTGTTAGAGCTTGTCGTTAACCAAGAAACAATAGTTAACGCTCTTAAACGCATAAATGTAACGTTTAAGTTCAACCGCTGGGTGCCTTACGAATTGACTACTGAAGACAAGCGCAAGAAAAAAGCAGGCCTGTTTGGCTCTCTTCAGAGATCAAAGGAAAGAGAAAATTCTGGACATAATTGTGACTTAAGATGATAAATGGTAATTGTAAATTTTCTTTGCTTCATTGCTCACTTGATATTTTAGAATTCTTTTTCTTAGTGTCATACAATAATGCTGGCTTTTTAAACTCTTCCTGTATTGAACCTGCAAATATGGTTAAATGTTAAATATCTATGCAGATTATGCTTTAATTAACAATGCTTTATATTTTTAAGATTATAGCAACTTATTAAATTGGTTAATTTATTAAAATTATAATTAGAGTTAGTTCCAACCATAGAGCTATAAATAAACAGGAGATGGCATGCACTGAAATTCGTGAGGTCTTAACCGCAACCGCGGCGCCATATTGTGACTACCAAAACAAATCAAAGCACGTTTTGTTTTGTCATAGAGCTATCGTGTTTTGTCGCTCTTAAAACTGTTTAATGGTGACTTTATTTCAGCAATTAAGCTATTATTTACAGATTAATTTAAGATCAAAGCGCTACGTAGTGGGTACCTGTGTTGCATTCAACTGTACTAATAGGATATCTAAGAAAATTACTGGCGTAACTTTTCACCGATAAGATTTTGTTTATCTTGTTTGTTTAATTTCAGTCTTTGCAAAATCGTGTATATTTAATGGCATTAACAGTTCATTTATCCTAAAAGTCAAAGCAGATAGAAAAAAAACTGTTGCATATGCAATTTCTTCATATTTTTTTAGTCTGTATAAGACAAAAACACATTTGAAACAACTTATCTTTTATGAAATAATAATTCTTTACCCTGTATTTGATGTTTTCTACATAATATATGCAAATATTAATGAATTGTTTTTAAAATATGGGTATAAAAGTTATTTCAAGATAATATCACATTCGAAGCACCTATATATGCATTTCTTCTCACCAAGTGAGATATGAAAATTATAATAAATCAGTTTGATACCGAGCCTACTGCAAATCATCTTGTACATCTTATCCGTTCAATTGTGCATCTCTACTTTATAGTTCGTGTAAATTATTATTGCAAAAATTTATCTTTAAACAAAGAGTCAGTTTTTTAAACACCTTGTTAACTTCAGTGGGCAGTAAGTTTGATACTTGACAATTATGTTTTTCCTTTGGTGTTTACTCATTTTCTGAAGAGGAGAATGTGTGTGCATCTATTAATAATTTGATCTATTTCAGATTTCAGTTTTTTAAAAAAGAAACAGGAATGCAGAAAACAATAATTTAATTTGGTTGATAAAATACAAACTATAATTTAATTTGGTTGATAAAATACAAACTATACTCGCATATATATATTTTGATAAAATATAAAACAAAAAATGGGGAGAGGAATAAACTTGCATTGCAAAAGCCTAGATTTTTTTTAAAAATCTTACAAATCAAGAATTTGCATTATTATACTCACTAACAATATCCACAACTATGTATTTTTATAATTTTTAATTGCAACATTAATCAAATTTATCAGAATCATTTTTAAAATTAGAGCAATCTATGCATATAAAAAAATATTTCTCATCACTCGAGTCTGGTTCCTCAAGTTGAAATTTTCTAACATAAATGTGAGGTAAACATTCAAAATGGAGATGTTTTTGACATTCCATCTGAATGGCCTTAACTGTATTACCAACTTTAGATGGTAACAAAATTTTTTTTATGGAAATGCTACCTGCCTTCTTACTTTTAATTGGAGCCATTACTATGTAAAATGAAAACAAACCAAACTAAATCAGTTACTTTTATTTTAGAAACAAAACTAAATCAGTTTACTTTTATTTCAGAAACAAAACTAAATCAGTTGCTTTTATTTTAGAAATAAAATTAAGTTGGTTGCTTTTATTTTAGAAACAAAACTAAATTAGTTGATTTTATTTCATCCAGATATTCTTAAATTTATGTAATAGCTAAAAACACAATAATGAAGTTATGTGGCCAAAACTGGAACATGTAGTGTTCCACTTTTGGCCACCTACATGGCCAAAACTGGCACATATAGTAAATTTAATGTACCAGTTTTGGCCATCATCCATTTAATCTTAAAAATAATCACTTTTAATATGAAATTGGAATAAAAAGAAAGCTTACCTCATAAACCTTAAGGGTAATTAGTTTTATATTAATCATTTAATTCTGAGAGCTTTATGATGAAAAACTGCAAATACTTGTTCCTTAACAGTTGTGAGTATACAATACATGATCATGCATTTAATTTTTTTACAAGTCACATGTTTGAGAAAATGAACCAATCATAAACCGTCATCAAATAGTAAAATAAGGATTGCTTAAAGTGTTGGAATGCTTATTATTGGCTAATTTGAAATTACTGGTTAATTATTGGAAAAACCGATCCAATGTGGCCATAACTGGTGCAGTGGCCAAAACTGGAACATCTACCCTATAAGTTATGAAACAAAACTAATGTTGAAAAAATAAATAAATAAGTTGTTATGTGTTAACAACAATACTATTTCAATCGGTTTTCGGAATTTTCCGTCATAAGAGAAAAGGTCCAAGAACAGCTTACTCCTTCTTCCGCATGAAGGCATAGCGGCTCCGCGAAGTTTCTGGTAGTCACAAGATGGCCGCCGCTCCTCTGACAGTTACTTCACTCGCGCCTATAGGGAAGGATAGGAATGCCCACTCCTTCTTATTCATACCTCCATGGTTCCAACCGCCACATGAACATCGTCGGAAATACAGGCGACGATCTTTTGTTGAATGCTTTATGGACTACGGAAGATTACGGATTTAGAGATGGAAATCTTGTTCGCCACTGTTTCCTCAAGGCCATAGAACTAAGATTAACTGTTTTCAGCTTTTCTTAAGATTATGTGTTGTAATTGCTCTTCATTTAGAATTCCTAAATTCTTTGCTTGTATGGAAACTTGTATTTACGGTTAGATCTTCAAGGTTTATGTAATATACGCTTTAATTAACAATGTCTTATATTGTTAATACTATGGAAACTAATTAACTTGGTTAATTCATTAAAAATTATAATTAGAGTTAGTTCCAACCGCCACATGAACATCGTCAGAAACATCGACGACGACCTTTTATTGACCGTTTTATGGTCTTTTGGGGGTGAAAGAAGACTATGGAGTTAGAGATGGAAATCTTCGCCACTGTCTTCTCAAGACCATGGAATTAAGATGAACTGTTTTTACCTCTTCTTAAGATTAAGTGTTGTAATTGTTCCTTCTTTTGATTTTTAAATTTTCTGCTTGTATTTATGGATAGATGTTCAAGATTTAGTTAGATGGAGTTAGAGATGGAAATCTTGTTCGCCACTTTCTCCTTAAGGCCATGGAACTAAGATGAACTGTTTTCAGAATTTCTTAAAAATTAAGTGTTGTAATTGTTTTGTTTTCCTTCTAAATTCTTTGTTTGTATTGAATCTGTATTCATGGATAAGCGTTTCTAGATTTATGCTATTTTTTCTTTAATTGATATTGATGTACATTATTAACATTATGGCAACTAATTAATTTGGTTAATTTACAAAAAATTATAATTGGAGTTAGTTCCAACCGCCACCTGAACATCGTCGGAAACTTCGGCGATGGTTCCTTTAAGGTCATTGGACTAAGATGGACTGTTTCCAGCTTTTCTTAAGATTATATGTTGTAAATGTCCTTTGTTTTAAAACTTTCTTATATTGTTACTCTCTGTATTTTATCTTGTTGTAACACAGGGATATGCTATTTATAGTCAATATTTCTGAACGTGTTTCTCTTTATTGTGCAATGTATTTTGTCTCAATGGATCGTGGGTTGTTGGCTGCTCTTCTTCCTTTGGCGCCTGGGCCTTGTGCTTGGGATGCCTGTGGGTGGTTTGGCGCCGGGTCGCCCTCTAGAGAGGGGGCGAGGATGTGTGTGGTTTTGTTGTGGTGATGTTGGTGGGATGTTGGCTGGGCGTGTTGTCGCGCCCGGGATGGTGGCTTTGCTTGTCCCCTCGGATCCTGTACTAGAGCAGTTTTCGCTCGACTGGTCATCGGACTTTCCGTATGCTTCGGCAGGCTGGTATAACTTTCTGGTTATGATGATAAATGGGTGAAATACAATAATACAAGCCGTAAAGGAGGGCGGTCAGCACCTGGGGAATCAGCAGGATAGGTTTCAAGACGAGCCCTAACTAACAAGAAGGTACTTCTCTGTATCTGGCGGGATTGTCGCGGAATTATCAACAAAGAGTACTTGAAAAGCTGACAGACTATCAACAGCGCAATATACAGCAACATGCTAATCAAAGTTCGTAATGACATTCGAGAAAAACGAAGAAACGAGTTCAGAAGGAAGGTGGTTCTCTTTCATCAAGATAACGCCCAGTCACATGTTAGTACGATGACCGGCTGGACATTCTGCAAGCTGGAGTGGGATTTGATACAGCATCCACCATACAGCCCAGACATGGCCCCTTCGGATTTCTATCTGCTTTCACATCTGCAGCTTCATCTTGATGGGGCAATCTTCAATTCAAATGATGAGGTCATTAACGAGATCCATCTCTTCCTGGACTCCCGCACGCCACAGTTCTTCGCAGAAGGGATTGAAAAAATACCAAAACGTTGCCAGACGATTGTTGATTTGAATGGAGATTACTATCCTCATTAGCTTTGAAGTTTTCATATGTATTTATCATTTTTAAATAAAAAACATTTTGACGGAAAACTTTTTATTCAACCTGGTATTTTGCATGAATCTCTATTTAGCGATCTGAATCGGTCGAGGAAGCCACTTTCATATAGTTTGGCATAATTAGATGTCATTATCCCAAAATTATAAATGACTTTGGCCCATGGTGGGATCGAACCGACGACCTTCGCGGTATTAGCATGACACTCTAAACAACTATCTGATGGGCCTCGATGTGGCCGCTGGAAATTCCGTGCAACTTCTTTCGGTAAAATACACAAAAAGAGATTTTCTTTTTAATATTTTGCATCAATCTCTACTGAGCGGAGGGAAACAGTCAATGAAGCCACTTCTAAATAGTTTGGCATAATTAGATATGATTAGCAAAATAATAAAAACGACATACCACGTACCACGTGAAATACACGTACAAAGAGATATCTTTTGACTATTTTATATGAATCTCTATTGAGCGACGTAAAACATTCTATGAAGCCACTGCCAAATAGTTTGGCATAATTATATGTCATTCTTCCAAAATTATAAACGAACCTGGCCAATGGGGGGATTGAACCCACAACCCTCGCGTTATTAGCACGACGCTCTAACCAGCGGAGCTAACGGGCCTCGATGTGACCGCTGGAAATTCCGCGCAACTTCTTGCGGTGAAATACACATAAGATGATGAGATTTACATTGAAGCACACGTTGAAAGAATCATTTCATTCCATACAAAATTTAGACACACAAGAAAAACAGATAAATACTATCAGCAGTCAGTTGTGAAGTTCAGAAAACATGTTTGTTATGAACTTTTCCATTAGACAAATGAAATCAAATTTTAAAATAATAGGTAATGCTCAGCACTACATGCACTAGGAACATTTGAGCATTAACGGTGAAGATTAATTTGTCAAAACCCCAATTTTCAATGCTTTAGTTCTAAAATCAATGTATTCAATTGGACAATTATCTACCTAATCTTTTGTGAAGATAGGGTTGGAAATTTACTCAAAATTCATCTCTTTCTCTTTTGCTTATTAACTGCAAAGATAAAACCTTAGTTACATTAAATCTTTAATTGATTTCAATTTCAAACACTCATGTGTGTGAATTTCTTTAACAAACAATTCACGCCAGCGATACACAATTAACATTCACTCAAATTTACCCAACTTTAGTCTCTAAATTACTTAATTTTTACCACAGCATTAGTTATTATATGATTTAGTCTTAGATATTATGACATTGAT